TCACCACGTCACCGGGGAGTGCAAGTGCTCACCGGGATACACCGGAGCTTGTGGACTCAATACCTCCAATCAGAAGACCAATGTCTGTTTTTTAAAATGAAATGTGTTTTAGGTTGACTTTTAAAATCTGTCCAGGGACTACAGATGAAAAATAGCCACTTGGCTAACTCTGGCACATTTACAGAAATGTTCATTAATGTGCACTGTCCCTGTTAAATAAATGAATAAATAAATAGATAAAGCAAATATACAATATTAAAAGTAATACAAAAAGAAAAATAGTTTTTTTTTTAAAGTGAGAAAAAATAGTGCAATACGAGTCTATATACAAGTTACTGGAATGATATAATAATAGATAAATAATTACTAAGCAGCAGATGAATGTTATGAAATTGTTTCAGCAGTTCAGTTGTTTAGCAGTCTTATTGCCTGTGGGATGAATCTGTCTCGTGGTTTTGCCGGATGCTGCGGTAACGCCTGTCAGACGGCAGCGACAGACAGTGTGTGGCTGGGGATGGGGGTCTTTGATAATCCTGAGGGCTTTCTTCCTGAGCCGCTGGGAGTAAAGGTCCTCCATGGATGGCAGCTCCGTCCTGGTGATGTTCTCTGCAGTTTTCACCCCCCTCTGTAAAACCTTACGGTTGAAATTGAGCATTTTTATTTTTATTATTTTTATTTTATTTCTCTGAATGTATTTAAGGCACGTCTAAATGAAATGCTTTCTGACACTGGGTATTTGTAAATGTTGAATATGTAAATATGATATCCTCTGTTGTATGTTTGTATGTTGTTTTTATGTTTCATGTGGAACTAAATGATGCAGGTCTCCCTTGTAAATGAGATCGATGATCTCAAGGGACCAATCTGTCTAAATAAAGGTTTGAAATGAAATGAAATGAGGGCGGTGCAGCTGCCGCACCAGGCCGTGAGGCAGCCAGTCAGGATGCTCTCTATGTAGAAGTTGCAGAGTATCCTGGAATCCAATCATCATACTTCAAGCATTCACAGTTTCTAATGGAAGCCGATCCAACACAGTGTTTGACCCACTTTGTGATCAGGGTTGCACTTTTTATCAGTGGTTAAAAAATGATTAAAAAAGCCAGTGAGCAGGATGATACCAGAACATGTTACTGGTCGGTCGGTCGAATAATCGATTTTGATCATGGTCAGTTTCTGGCAACCCTAGTAGACACCATGGAAGATGATAATAACAGACTCTCACATTATCCTCTGTCTGCCAGCTCATAGAGTCCTATTGTCCTAGCATTTCTGACATCTTCAGGATCAAAAATGGCAATATTTCTCTCTCTGTCGGCTGATTTTGATATATTTTGGGTCGATTCTGAAGATTTAGGGGACTATTTGGACAGGCTGCTTATTTATTTAAAAACATAATTGTCCACAGGAGAGGTAATCATTTTCATCTTGTGCTTTCTTTATCAAATGGTCGCTACACACTACTCATGGTTGTCAAAATCAGCGCACTGGGAATACAAATATGGCAAAACTTTCTAGTTAAATCTGACATTTTTGATCCTGAAAATGTCAGAAAATGTATTCATCATCCTCAGAACATCTACAAAATAGTGTGCTGTGTGGGTCACTCAAGCATCCCCCGTCTCTCTGCCAATCACAGAGCTGCACAGTAATGCTGGCCGTGTGCGGGCCTGCGGTTGGGCGAGCAGAGGCTGGAGAGTGTGTGACGTTGACCCTGCTGTGTTGTATGTGAGTTAGTGAGTGTTAGTGAGTGAAGGACTAGAGTGACGTTGAACCTGTAACCTCTGACCTATGAACCTGTATTTGTATGCTACCATAGGAGCTATTATACCTAAGAACTTGAGGCCTGTTTCAGACTCCTATTGTGAAACGTTACAATATGTAAGTTAGCATCCTGCAGTCTCTGAATGCTGGCGACCCGTATAATACATTTGTAACATCACACTTTGGTTTACCCAACATTTCTGCGTTCACTATGCTGGCAACTACAACTAATATGTAAAAGCCCTCCCGATGCTTGGAAACTATCGTAGGAATTTATCACAAGTCTCATTTAATTCACAGATTAGTTGTATCAGTACGGCTGTCATTAGCTTGTATATTTGTTCTTTTCTACTCCTTTTGTTTGAATATTTTTAAAAGGCGCAAATGGTAATCAACGGGGTTTCTGGGTTGCTTGGCTTTCAGGCAGAGCAAAATACTTGCTTATTAATCTATTTAAGTTAATGATGTCTTTGATAAATTGTGAGTTATTTTGCATTTGAATTATAATGCCCTGAAAAGTCAGGAATGTAATGTTGTCTGTTGCCCTCAAGCCTATCAAGTGCGGGCGAACACTGAATATACTGTAGGCCAAAACCCAGAAGAACTTGACAGTGATTTAGCGTGGAATTTCCAACACAGAAACCATACAAAGGAAATGACAAACTGGTGTCGAGATGGCCTTCATTTGACACATAATAAACTCAATCTTTCTTCTCTTCTCGTCCCTTCAGCGTGTGACAGTGTCCACTGGGGGCCTCACTGCAGTAACAGATGTCAGTGTCAGAACGCGGCTCTGTGTAACCCTATCACCGGAGCCTGCATCTGCCTCCCGGGGTTCAGAGGGTGGCGCTGCGAGGCCCCTTGTGAGACGGGCTCCTACGGGAACGGGTGCCAACAGAAATGCCAGTGCCAGAACGGAGCCGCCTGTCACCACGTCACCGGGGAGTGCAAGTGCTCACCGGGATACACCGGAGCTTTGTAAGTTGTGTGTGTGTGTGTGTGTGTGTGTGTGTGTGTGTGTGTGTGTGTGTGTGTGTGTGTGTGTGTGTGTGTGTGTGTGTGTGTGTGTGTGTGTGTGTTTGATTATTCGATTATTCTGAAGTGACACAAACGTGTTGGGGTTACCTTAAAGGTTTCCAGACTGTTGCAAGTTTCAGAGGTGGGAAGTAGTGGAGTACAAATACTTTGTTACTGAACTTAAGTACATTTTTCTGGTATCAGTACTTTACTCCACTACTTACTAGTCAGTACTTCTACTTTTACCAGCGTATATTTAAACACGAGTATCTGTACTTCTACTTGAGTAAAGGATGTGTGTACTTTTGCCATCTCTGGCAAGTTTTCTGATTGTTGTAACATCTCCAATCCTCTTTCTCCCCAGCTGTGAAGACCTGTGTCCTCCAGGTAAACACGGGCAGCAGTGTGAGGAGAGGTGTCCGTGTCAGAATGGAGGAGTGTGTCATCATGTGACCGGAGAGTGCTCCTGTCCTGCAGGGTGGATGGTACGACCACAACATGTTCATACTACCAATTGTCTTTTTGAGAGTGTGAAGGCAGGGGCACAATACATACAGTACATGATGACCGAAAAACAATAAGACTGAATAACATTACATTACATTTAGGTGTCTTTTTTCACCCAAAGTGACTTATAATAAGTGTAGGAAACAAAATGCTTATTTAGCCTAAGGCAATTATTTGGACACAGAGTGAGCTGGCTCGGACATTTTCTTTTGACCGTTTGGTCCTCTTTAAGTTATGGTTTGTTTATTTGAGTGATTAAACATCGTTAAGCTATAACTTCAGTACGGACTGTTTTAATTGAAACGCCTGTTCATTGGGAGTTTTGTCGCTACATTAAATGCAATCTATTCAGAACAGCTAAGTACATTAGCTTCAAATACGCCAAACCTTTTTCAATGCTACTTCTAAGCATGGTTTAGATGGTGTACACGACTTGGGGGATCCTCACACATGCTATCCTCCGCTAACATGTCAGCGTGAGCAGAACCAGAGCGCAGGCAGTCATGATTAGAGGGGAGGAAGAGAGCAGCTCCTTTGACAGATTTGATAAAGTTAAAAGGCTCACAGCGGCTGGAGGAGGCCGCGTATCAAAGTCTCTTAAAATCACTATCTTGAGGTCATGCTGGAAGGAGCTCTGAATTCTTGTCAAGAGTAAGTTGAAGACTAGAGAACAGACGAACTGTATCACTGATTAGGAAAATGAAAGAAATGTATAGTACATAGAAAGAACTGCCAGATGCTAACTTGCAAGTTGCCCAGTTAGCATACATTCCATTTTGGGGGCTATTGAGGATGCCGAGTCTATTCCTGACCTTTTCAGGATATAAAAATGCCCATTTTTACCAGAAAGTGGCCATATTTGTACTCTCAATTGGCAGATTTTGACTACCATGAGTTGTGTCGCGACCGTTGGATACAGAGAGCACAAGATAAAAATTATTGTCTCTACTGTGGACCATTTTTCTTAAAAGAAATAGGCAATCTGTCCAATCCAAATGTTCCAGAGACCCCTCAATCTTCCAAATTGACCCAAAATGAAGTTCTGAAGTGAAGTTAAAGACTAGGGAACAGAGGAACTGTATCCCCGATTAGGAGAATGAGGTCATGCTCACACACATCAGCAGTAAGAAGAACATAAAGGCATGCATTGAGAGAACTTGATCAACAGTGTACGTGTTTTCTGTGTGCAGGGAACAGTGTGTGGACAGCCATGTCCAGAGGGGAGATTTGGACAGAACTGTTCCCAGGAATGTCAGTGTCACAACAACGGCTTCTGTGTGTTGTCCACGGGACAGTGTGTGTGCAGCGCGGGATACACAGGAGAGAGGTAAGAGAGATGTCAAAAGTCCACACATCCTTTCCTCAAGTAGAAGTACAGATACTCGTGTTTAAAAATACTCTGGTAAAAGTAGAAGTACTGACTAAACTTCTTTACTCAAGTCAAAGTAAAGAGGCTTTGAAATGTACTTCAGTAAAAAGTACCCATAACTAGCAGCTGTTTTAAAGAGTACCTGACCTCCCTTTATATTAATAGAACAATAATGTCATTGTTAGCTAATGAATGTTTCCATGCTGAACAACGGCAACATGACAACGTTTCCATTGGTCCCTCTTCTTTAGAGAAGACCAGGAAATGATGGATACACGGATCGTGTGCAAATCAATAGGCACGCAATGACTCTAAATAATAATGATCACGCCACCAAACACACATTCA